AAGAACGAGCGCTGTTTGTTGCGGAGAGAACAATGGACTGAGGATGCTAGTGTTTCTTCCTAATCATGCAAGTGATCAGACGCTCTGCAGGATAAGCGTCCTGCAGGGATATCATAGCAGCTACACGAAAAAAATCGAAGTCGATGAGTAAGATTGCTGATAGCTAATGGGCATCACACATTAGCGAGTGGTGCTGACGGGAAATTTTCCCAGTTCCAGCAAATGGGTTTAAAGTTCCATGAATCAACTCACGTGGCAGCTGATGAGGTAGAAGATGCTGCTGCTGGCATTGCAATGATTGAAAACGCTGTCAAATTCCGTGCTGTTGTTGTCGTAGGTAGGGTTGACGTAGTTGTTGTCGTTGTCGCTGAAAAAATATTTTCTTGAAATTTAATTTTTTTGGGCTTGAAACTTGGAAGAAATTAGTTTTTAAATATTTTCCTTTCTTATATTAGTTTTGCAGAAAAGAAAAAAAAAGAAATAAAGAGGTGTAAAGTGATTATTTGTGCATCGAGGACAACACAACACGAGCACTCAAGGCAAGCTGTTGCTTCCAACTGTTTCTGCCCAGACATCACTTGTGGTGCCGGACAAAAAGTAACAGTGATGGCGATAGCGCTATTAGCGTCTCTCCACGAACTGCCTAGGAAGCAAGCTGGAAGCCAAGAAGTACCACCACTCTTCCACTGAGACATGAAAAAAATTATGGTGCGAGCGGTTTTCCTAGTAGCTTTTCTGGAACGTGGATTCTCTGTCTGATAAAATAAGATATTACAATATAACGCTGTTCCAAGACAAACAGAAAAATATTTACTGTCTGGAGGGGATAATCCAAAAATTTTGTAAATTCTCCACTAATTATATACAGACTTGCAAAAAATTTCGAAAGGAAAAACATTTTTCGCAAATTTTTTTCCACCTGCAGGTATTTTCTCGTTGCATTCGTACTGAAGTTCCAGGTATTTTTCAGTATCCGGACATGGATCACCGAGTTCCTCGCTGTTTACCGGGATACTACACCGCTGGTACCCATCACATCTGCACAGTGCAGCAAATTAAAAATCATAAATTAAAAAAACACAAACACAAAAACCGAAAGGACTCCCAATGTGGCAGCTTTAGGTGTTAATGAGGCGTCAGTATTCCAAACTTCCCTGGACCTGTCAACATATTACATGCTACGCGATTTTCTTTTAGCAAAAAGCGCGTTATGGATTAAGCTTTCATTCACGTTCCGCGCACTCTTTATGGCTGATTTTGGAACTTGATCAATGGCCTTAGTGTCTCTGGAATGTTGGCAGCTACAAAACTACGGCCAGTACTGCAAGAAAGGAGCCAACAAAGATACTTTTTCCCTTATACGACAACATTGGTTGTCGGATACCCACCAAGAGAAATTGCCTTTAGACATCACCAAGCTGGGGCCACTTTGTCCTGGACTTTTTATATCAGGCCGGCATCTGTTTCTCCTTATCCTACCGCTCGCCATTCATTTCTTGTGTATCACTACGGATGCGCATCATCCTTTCTGAAGTGGTTATTTTGCCTTCTCTTTCGACAAAATAAATAAAAAAAAA